GAAAAATCAAACTCTTCTAAAAATCTAAGAAGACGGGACAATTGAGCAAGAGGACCAGACAATAATAACGAATGATTAACTAATGATGTGGTGTATAAACAAAAACAGTATTTTTTTTAATTTGATTTCAAACCAAAACTTTTTTACATTTTGTTTCACTTTTTAGCTCAGTTTTTGTTAACTATAATAGCCGTGTCCATGATAAGGACATAGCCATGATGATCTCCAGCCTCCAACTAACAAATCAACAAAGTAAAAGATAAATGATTTAACAGAAAATTGCTTTTCCTTTAGCTCTCCTCTTGGATGTTACATCATACTTTTTCATATTTGATATTTTGAGATGCTTTGATTCTGCTCCTCCAAAGCTGTGCCAAAGTCGAGGTATCTAGTAGATTTATATGAGCTAAGTGAGTACTGTTTCGCTTCATATTTTCAAACTGTTAATCCTTGAACAGGTAGTTAGAGGAAGCCCATGGATGGGGTGATGTTCAGAATAGCTGAAATGAATCAGTTGTCTTACCTCATGGTGAACAAGAATAACTGGATAGTTGTTTTTGTGTTATTGCTGTGAACATTGAAATCCTGATCCTGTCCTCTACTGTTTTGTATTTATATAAACAAAATAACAGAAAACCTTAAATTCATTAACCCTTGGTTGTAACTACATTTCATTTTCTGAGCTAAAATGAACTATTGCTCTAGTGACAAGGTTAAAGGTTCATCCAGTAACATTTCATAGACAACAAATGATTAATAAAAGTGTCCTGCAGGTCAGGGTGTCAGCTTGAAGGGATCCAGGGGGAGAGCTGCTGCAGCATATCACACCGCCACAGAAATATTTAACTGCATCGTTTCTGGGCAAATGTCCTGCTGCTACTTTCCATCAGCGCTCTCTTTATGTGAATAAAGAGATTTTTAAGATTTTATTAATGGTCAGCATTTTAAAGCTTTTTAAAGGTAATTTTCCAAACGAACATCTAACGTGAGATTGTCTCCATATTCCTGCAGCGTTTTCCTGGTGGATCACGCGTGGACGTACCGCGTGGATCATGCCCGGCAGCAGCTGGAACAGATCCCAGGCCTGTTGCCCAGAATGGCGGCCCTTATGGGGCTGGACTTCCATGGTGAGGTCCCCGACCCTGACACGGTGGAGCTGGTGATGGAGCGCATGTGGAAGTACAACCAGACTTATCAGCTCTCTCAGGGGGTGTGTGAGAAAACACCACTCTTATCACTTAGATATGTACTACACATGAAGCTACTGTAGGAACCATGATGTGAAACCTATTGACGTTGACTTATTTCAGTATAAAGCAGCTAATGTGTAACACAAAACTGCTGAGTCCTCAGAGAGCCTCCTGTGTGCACATGAACGCTTGTCCTTACGAGGGCTGAGCACACTTTGAACAAAAGAGAGTTTGTGATAATAATGACCTGAAAGCCAGAACCTGACCCTCCTCTGCCTCACTTCCTCCCGTGTTTTCCTGTGCAGTCCCCAGAGGACAAGGTTCCCGTGTGGTACATCATGGATGAGTTTGGCTCTCAGGTGCGGCACTCTGATCAACCGACCTGCAGCATGGCTCCTTTCTTCTCCGTGCAGGGCCAGTTAGCCTACACCGTGCTCTGGCCTCTGCAGGACCTGCACGAAGGAGGTGACAGCGGACACAGCATACAGAGAGCGATCGCCATGTCACAGTTCAGAAAATGAATACATCTGGTTGTTTTTGGATACAAGATACCTGAAATAGAGTTTCCCTGTTCAAACATGCAGCATGATTGGATGACATAATGTTTTATTACATTATTATCCACAGATGAAGTTACCCGTGACTACACATATGGAGAGTCAGACCCTCTGGTGCGGCAATGCCGTCTGTTACCATGGATACCTAGTGATCTAGAAGAGGTCAGCAGCGTCACAGCTGAGCCCCCGGACTCATTCTTTGAGGTGAGGAGTACCACACAAATTTATCAGCCTCAAGAATTCTATTAAACTTATGTTCTCATCTCAAACTCAGATTCAGTCTTTTGGATTCTTGATAAAAAAAAGTCAAACAGTTCACAAAGTAGTAAATAATGTTAAATAAGTTTTACTAATACGAGATATAAATACGACAAAGTATTTTCATTCGGTACCTAAGGCACAGTCCAGTCACCCTCTTCCTCATTTCCTAAATTATGATCCAACTGTGATTAACCACATGTTTTTGAAAGGTGAGTTCAGTTTGATTAAATACACCCAGGCCTGATTACTGGTAGACCTGCTGAATTAAGAAGACACTTAAGTAGAACCAGAACATCTTTCTAACAGTAGAATATGGTGGTGGTAGTGTGGTGGTCTGTGTGGCTGCCTGAGAACCTGCAACACTTGCTGTGGTAAATGGAACCATGAATTCTGCCGTCTACCAAAACATCCTGAAGGAGAATATCCGGTCAGCTCTTTGTGACCTCAAGCTGATGCACACTTGAGTTCTACAACAGGACAATGACCCAAAAAACACCAGCAAGTCCACCTCTGAGTGGCTTAAGAAAAACAACATATAGACTTTAGAGGCCCGGTCAAAGTCCTGACCTGAATCCGACGTGCAAACAGCATAGTGAAGGACACTCTCCACCCCTCACATGCACCGTTCTCCCTCCTTCCATCTGGCAGACGTTTTCGCAGCATCAAAACTGTAACGACCAGAAACTGCAAGAGCTTCTTCCCCCAAGCAGTCAGACCCTCAACTCACTACCACCAGAGGACTGATAAACTGTGGGGTGGCTGTAGCTCAGATGGCACAGCAGGTCTAATCAGAAGGTCGGTGGTTCGATCCCAGGCTGCCTCCTGGCTGCATGCCAAATATCCTTGGGCAAGATACTAACCCCATGTTTGCCTACTGGTGGTGGTCAGAGGGCCCGGTGGCGCCAGTGTCCGGCAGCCTCGCCTCTGTCAGTGCGCCCCAGGGTGGCTGTGGCTACAATGTAGCTGCCATCACCAGTGTGTGATGTAGTGTAAAGTGCTTTGGGGTCCTTAAGGACTAGAAAAGCGCTATACAAATGCAGGCCATTTACCATTTACAAACACCTTACAGTCTCACCAAAAGACTCAAAAACAACACAAACTTCCACAAATGCACTACAAACTAGACCTGGGAACAATCTGCTTATTTGCATACTCAGTCACATAGTTACTGAACACATCTTAACTATATTTGCACATTTTGTCTCTTGCACGTCTTCATCCGTTCTCGTCTAAAATATCCTGACTCATAACTTGAACCTGGTATTCAGTACCTGTCTGTGTTTATTGTACATAGATAAAGTTAGTAATAGTACCTTTTTATCACTTAATTTGACCCAAATTTAGCAAGTTATTATTTATGTGTAAATCCTAGTTTTTATCTCTTGGAGATATATCATTTATACTCATATAAATGCACCACGGGGGGCTTGGGGTGAAACAGCATCTCGGTACGCTGTATGCTGTGTATATTGTTGTATTGACAATAAAGTTCTTGAATCTTGAATCTTGAGATGCTGTGGCATGACCTGAAAAACCCTCCAGTGTGGCTGAATTACAACAATCCTGCAAAGATGAGTGGGCCCAGCTGGTTTTTCCCCCTTAATAATAAACATTTAAAACTGCATTTTTAAAGGAGGTGAAATCTTTGTCCTGGATTTAAATTTGTTTGATGATCTGAAACATTTAAGTTTGACAAACATATGAAGTCAGACACCACTGTATGTGATGTATCCACAGTCAATATCTGAGCTGAACTGAAGCCTAATCGTCGGTGTTGTCGTCTCTGTGTCTGCAGAACATTGCTCGGGAAAACAAGGAGCAGCTTCCAGTGGAAATACAGCCTTACACTGTTCCCAAGGACAAAGTCTACAAGTAAGTTTCTCACTGTTACAGAAATCTTTTTTTATTATATTTACCTGTAGTGCCTTTCTGAGACTTCTGTATTTGGATAATATAGTAATGATAATGTGACACAGAGAAAGTGGACATCTGTATATGAAGGAGAAATACTGAGCTGGTCCACAGCTGTAGACGTTGCTTGGAAAACGCCTGTTCATGTGTATCAGGAAGGTCACTGCCTGCCTCACTAAAGATAACACATTTACTTTGTTGGGAATTTGCAGGTCGAGATGATCTCCATGTAGTGTTTGTCTGACTATAGATAATATTTTAATCTTTACCAACATAGAGGCCAGATTTCAGTGTGTGGTGGAATGTATCTGGATACACGCTCAACTGAAATCTAAGGTGCATGTACAGGATTCATTGTTTCATGCTTCTTCTACAACTAGAAAAACTTTTCTGAATTTAAAGAAACTCAAAATAACTTCTGCTCAGGGTTTTATACAACAAATCGCTTCATATATGCTGTCGCTCTTCATCATGTCTCATTCAGTTTATGTGCTGCTTCACATCAACATGAGTTCTCATTAGCTCAGTCTCATGTGAACCTGCTTTTTCCCTTTATGACACTGTGTTTGTCAGTCACAGCATCACTTCTGTTATTCAAACATTGGACTCTGGTGCCTTTCACTCACACACACACACACACACACACACACACACACACACACACACACAGTCTGCTGTGCTCTCATTCACAGAGGGAGCCGAGGACACACTGTAGTCAAAAGAATGCTTCGGGAATCTGGGTGAAAGAGTCAGGCGTTCATTGCTCAAACATGATTTTCTTACTCATCCTAGTGATTAGATCTGGTCTTGATTATACTTTGAATTAGAATTAAATATGTTGAACAAAGTCACTGCTAAGTAAACTCTACTTTAGCGCTCTGTGTCACCGTCCCCATAAAAAGGCTGGATGTTAAATCCTTTTCCTCCACTTGTGGGTAAAGATAAGCTGGGAGAGCTCAATCTCTTTGAGATCGTATGTATCAGAGGAAGCCGATTAAACACATACAATGAGTATACAATGGGAAGCTCTGTATTAACCTGTTACGTTGTAAACTGTTTGGATGAGAACAGACATTCCTTTATTGCATAAAATACATATAATCGTTTTCGCTGATTGTGCCACTCGTTACATACAAGGAGAAATCCGTTTTTGACTCCAGCTTGTGAGTCTGGTGAACAACCTGTCATCTGACTCAAACAGGCTTTCCTTCATACAGTCTTCATTTACAAAGTGTATGGGCTCAAAATGTGGTCATAAATATTTTGTACTTGTAAATCAGTTTCGTATGTGTAAAAAAGATTTGTGTGTGGACTTAGCCAAAAAAAACCCTGCAAGTTACAAGTACGAATTTTGACCCTATTTTTCTTCCTTTCATCTGATTGGTCAATGTCATGTCAATCACAAATGTAACAATCCAATCAGAGAGCAGATGGGTTTGGCTGTCGGAGGGGCGCTTTTTTGAACTGCAGGTCCTTGAAGGGTAATACAGTTTGAAGCTGGAGGATCTCTATATAAATATCCGATAGAAGTTAGGTCCCCTAACTTTCAGTAGCTGTTGAAAGGATAAAGTTGTGGTATATCAGTGGTTAGAAATACCATTATTACTTTAGGATTAGTTTAACACAAAGTCAGGGCTGACCCGGGACCATTGCTGTGAGTCACAGTGTGCAGCATAAAAGTCCTTTCACATCTGACGCAGGATGTGCTGCTAATGCTAACTGCTAACTAAAAGCAAAGGATCCAGAATTTGTTGCTGGCTGCTGAGTTCTGTGGGTTTTTGCAGCAGCTCTACCTGTACTAGATGCACCTGCTCCTTGTCTTTTCTATCTCTGACTTTATGTCCTCTACAAGAGTTTCTGGTTTTTTTGCTAGTTCTTCAAATGTTCAATAAAAACATCTATGCTAATTCATAACAAAGAAAGCTTTGTAATGAAGACTGTCATTTCCAAAACACTGCCCGCCCCACCCTGCGGTCCGCAGCGCTGTTGAAAAGGCTGTGGAAGTCGCTGTATTAAACACGTAGACCTGTGACACAAAAATCACCAAACTCGGACGACTACAGACTGTTTTCCTTCGTGGTGATGAAGGAAAACGCTGGGTTGGCGTGTAAAAGGGCATTTATTCCCTTCAAAGACCTGCAGTTCAAAAAAGCGCCCCTCCGACAGCCAAACCCATCTGTTCTCTGATTGGATTGTTACATTTGTGATTGACATGACATTGACCAATCAGATGAAAGGAAGAAAAATAGGGTCAAAATTCGTACTCATAACTTGCAGGGTTTTTTTTGGCTAAGTCCACACACAAATCTTTTTTACGCACACACAAATCTTTTTTACACATACAAAACTGATTTACAAGTACAAAATATTTATGACCACATTTTGAGCCCATAAAAGTGCTTTACAAATCCAAACATTACAGCTAGCAGGTGTATTTTCCCGTTTCAGTATAGCTAACCAAACAACGAAGAGCCACCAGAGACTGATTTTTAGTTTACGTCCCCTCGCTTTCCCTGAGTTATTGGTTTTGTTACCAATTACCTAACATAAACTAATGCAAGTCTACTGATCGCAACCAACCAACCCGATGATGTCACATAATATACTGACACAAGATGTCGCTAAACATGTTTTAAAACTTTCTTAATTTCTTAAATCCAGCTTCACAGACAGTCTGTTTTTGAGAGCAGGGCTCAGTGGTGCAAGTTTATATGTCTATATGTCATGTCCACTTTAAGTGTTAATTAAAAAGCTCAATAAAAAGAGTTTTTTTGTTATTGTTTTGTTCATTTGTTTCCAGAGTTTACTCTGAAATGTCACAAGTAACAAACAACCTTAGCCACCCTCGGTTCCAGCTGATAGAGGATGAGGACGAGGCAGATATCATTTGGCGCTATAATCACATCAAAGACTACAGGTGAGCAAGCAAAGCTGCATTCATAACTCGGTGACATTATAGACAGACATGATTTCTTCATGAGTGACTGTTTCATACTTGGTAGCTGTTGGATTAAAAAAACGTGTGCTCAAGGAAACCAGGAAGCACCTGTTTCTGCAGAGTCACAGCACACAGCTTCCTAATTCCTTCCTAATTTTTATGCACTAAGTATAGTGCTTTTCTGATCATTGTGTCAGTAGGTTGTATTAAGTGAACACAAAAGCATCACAGTTTGTACTGGTTGGCGAGTAACCTTCTTTAATAGTAATAAATCACACAGCAATAGTTTATTCATGTAGTTGTAGAAAGCATGACAATATATTAAGTAATCCAAAGTATTCAGAATACGTTACTCTCATTGAGTAACGTAACAGAATACGTTACAAAATACATTTTGGGGCATGTAATCTGTAATCTGTAATGGGATACATTTTAAAAGTAACCTTCCCAACACTGCTGATGTCCATGGGTCACGTTGTAAAGGGTTTTCATTCAAGTATTTTAGATATTTTTCAGTTTGAAGTTATTTTAGTTTGCCAAATGATTTTTGAGCTTCTGAAAGCGAATATGACTGCGTATAAAAACACCTGAACGTTTGTTAAACTCTTCAAAATAACACTGAAAGTCTGCACATCAGTCACATCTTGATGGTTTGATTCACGTTTGTGGTGAACAGATTTATTTATATAGCGCCCTAAGGTGCTTAATATTGTAATGTAAAGATCCAACGATGATAGAGATCAATTGTCCAAATAGGTATGATCCTGGCTGTGTTATCATATTATTATATGTTAACTCACAGTTTGTGTATTCTGTTGGTGTGTGTGTGTGTTGAGTGACTAATAGAAAAAAATCAGCTTTATCTCAAAGCTAACACTGATCTTGACCAACTGTCAGGCAGGAATTATGAAAACAGGCTTTATTGTGTGTGAATGCCAAGAACATGTTTTTTTGTGTGACTTAATAAGTAAATAATTAATAATAAACTCTGTATGCTTGTTGCTAGGCTGCGCTACATTGTTGCATAAACATCCTAAACTCCGCTTTAATTGATTCCAACACAATTTTAAAAAGTGACCTGTTTTCATGCTGGGGAGGTATTTAAGTTCATAAATACCTAAATACCAGAAAGTTAAAAGAAGTCAGAGTTCATGAGTTAATCTCAAACTCAAACATGTGATTATTCTAAGTCTATCAGCAAAGTTATGTTGACACTTGATAAAGCAGCTATGAACCAGCGTTGGGTGAGGTTGTTGTTGGACTGTCAGAAAGGTTAAATATTATGTTTTGATTTGGCAGCAAACTCAGTGTGGAGCGACCTCATGTGTTGCTGAACCAGTTTCCCTGTGAGAACATCATCACTGTGAAGGACTGCCTGGCTGCTGTGGCTCGCAGGGTGAAAGGCAGCCCAGGACCCGACTGGTTACCGCAGACCTTCAACCTACAGACAGAGCTGCCACAATTCATCAAGCATTACCAGCAACAAAGGTTGGGATTCTGATTCTGTTTGTTTCTAGTCATCTCTAGTTTTTATGACAAATAATAAAAGGAAGGAAGAACTTAACCGCAGTGTTTCACACAGACACGCTGAATAGTTACAGAAACATCTGTGCTGAGTACGGCCTGGAAGTCCTGGATGGTTCTTCCACATGTTCCTGTTTATTAATGTTTTAAGGTCTTTACAATGTAAAGCGCCTTGAGGCGACTGCTGTTGTGATTTGGTGCTATATAAATAAAATGGAATTGAATTGTAAAATAATAAACTTTATATTTCTTCCTTCTTCAGACTTCAATCATCTAATTTAATAAACAGCAGCAAGCAAAAGTCAATAGCAGCTTAAGCTGTTTGGCATCAGCAGAGATGCAGATTTTAAAGGGAACAACCCACGAATGCATTTTCCTTACAAGTGTGGACCATAAACAGGCAGTGTTACAATGATCCTTTTATGTATTTATTATGTTATTATCATTATTAACTGGATAATTAAAAGTTGCCTTATATTGTTTCAGGGGAGAAGATAACCACTGGATCTGTAAGCCTTGGAATTTAGCTCGTGGACTAGACACACACATAACCAACAACCTGGATTACATCATCAGGCAGCGAGAGAGTACACCAAAGGTGATGGCACACATACACCGAAACCAAGAATGACACTTATATAAACTTATGTATGTATGTATGTTCAGAAAGTGCCTTGTGTATGACTTTCCAAACCGCTTCCACTTGACCTCAATGGTGGATGAGGTCAAAGAAAGATGGGTAGAAGACTTGATCATTAATTAGGAAAAGAGAAGAGCAGTGTGATGAGAATGACCATAAACTAGTCTTACACCCTGGACAGGTCGCCGGCCTGTCGCAGGGCTAACACAGAGTTACAGACAACCAGTCACAATGACATTCATGCATGATTAGCTGTTATTAACTATTATTAGAGGGCGATTGTGGCTCAAGAGTTTGGCGTTCGCCTTGTAATCTGAAGGTTGCCGGTTCGAGCCCCGGCTCCGACAGTCTCGGTCGTTGTGTCCTTGGGCAAGACACTTCACCTACCGCCTACTGGTGGTGGTCAGAGGGCCCGGTGGCGCCAGTGTCTGGCAGCCTCGCCTCTGTCAGTGCGCCCCAGCTGTGGCTACAATGTAGCTGCCATCACCAGTGTATGAATGTGTGGATGATTGTGTATAGTGTAAAGCGCTTTGGGGTCCTTAGGACCAAGTAAAGCACTTTACAAATACAGACCATTTACCATTATTGTTAACTTGATTAACTAATAGATATTCTCATTTTATAACACTGCATTACTTTACAAAAATAACTATAGAACAGTTCATCTGCTAATAAGGTTTGTGATTTGATCCCATCTGCTCCAGTGGTGCATGCCAAATATCTCTGGGCAAGATTAACCCCCGAGCTGCTCTGTGACGCGTCCATCGGGTATGAGTGCGAGAGTGTGAATGTTAGATTAGCACAGAGAACAGTGATCAGGTAGAAAAGTGCTCCATTTGCTGTTTAACCACATAAGACATATATGATGCTATCCTTTCTATCTGTAAGTCATATATTTATATTTACTGTTATCAGAACACAGGATCGATACACTACGGTAAAACAAATTTCCATCACAGAAATCTTCAAAGGGATACAGAATTGCAGACTCCGTGCTGCATGACTTTAAGATTCACACGGTGTCAGGACTGTAAAGCTCACATGTTTTCATGTTCCAGGTGGTGTGTAAGTATCTCGAAGATCCCGTCCTGTTCAGCAGGGAGGAAGTGGGAATGGTGAAGTTTGACATTCGCTACATGTTGATGTTGCGTTCTGTGCAGCCTCTGCGTCTCTATGCCTATAATGTCTTCTGGCTGCGCTTTGCCAACAGGTAAGAAATGCATACATACAGAAAGAGAACTGTAGGGTACCTTTGTCTGCACAGTCTCCTCAGACTTTGTTTCATAGTAGCTGGATTACATCCATAGTTAATAATCTGTGGACACGAAGCAAAGCGAAGTCAGACAGGAAAAGGCAGATGATGGCACACACTGCTTTTGTGGCACTCATTAGTTTGTTTGTTTTTTTGTTCCATTTGATGTAAAAAATAACAGCACAATTTAATTAATTATATCAAAAGTTAACATAGAAGTTACAAACCAACCAAAACTAGCAAAATAATGTTTCTGTCTCTTCTTTCATATTCAAAGATTGTCTTGTTTCTTATCCATTGATTGGCTCTTCACTAAGTTAAACCTGTTATGAGGGCAGTTTGTTGTTGCTCCATCTTTGACCCTTTGCCGTGCTGGTGCTGATCTTTTGGTGTTTCTGCCTAGACCGTTCTCCTTGGATCATTTTGATGATTACCAAAAGCACTTCACTGTCATGAACTATGCCGAGGGGGTGGAGCTTAAGCAGGTATCTTCTCTATTTTAATTTGTATGTCTTGCCATAGCTGTTGTCGTCATCAAAGTCTAGTAATAACAGTTTGGATGGGTCCCTTTTGTAGGTGCACTATGATGAGTTCATCCCAATGTTTGAGGAGCAGTACCCACAGTATCCATGGAAAGAAGTGGAAGTGAGTGAAAATGTTAAGTGCTTTTCAGTTTAGGATGCTCTTTCTGAGAGTTTAGGGAAATGGTTTGTTTATAAGAAGCTGGTCACTGATGTTTTCAGTCATCAGTGGCATGTCAGCACAAATTATTCTTCCAGGTGTATCTAAAGCCCTCACACCACCTGCTTGAATCTGCAAATTAGGTACCAGCATCTGCACAGATTATGAAGCACGTGTGACAGTATCTCTAAGGCCTTAATTCTAGTTTGGTTATCATACTCAAATCTGGGTTTTTGTCCATTTTTCTTTACAGGGAGAGTTATTTAAAGCTTTCAAGGAGCTCTTTGAGGCAGCCACTTCTAGACCGGCACCATATGGTATTTGTCCCTATCCTTCATCCCGGGCCATCTATGCTGTAGACCTCATGCTAAAGTGGAGTAGAGGACAAAATGGTGAGCATTTATCCTACTGATCATCAAAGTAACATTTGTCTTGAGCCTCAGAGGAATGGCACCTTAACCCTTTAAAGCCAGTCAGAGCAGGCACGCTCTATTTTGCGTAACTATTTTTAAATCCCGGTAGCTCTGCAACCACGTAAGCTAGCACAATAATTTTTTTTGCATATGAACCGGGGGAGTTGTACTTACATCTTATGCCATCAGCTTGTCCTTGGTCACAGTTTCCTTCCACATAAAGCTTTGCAAAAACTGCATAAAAAGCTCTTGCAGCAACAAAAACATAATATTCCAGAAACAGGCTTTGCCGATCCGATCAGCTGTTCATAACACTTCCTACATTGGATTAGATGTCAGCGTGAACTATCGCATGTCCTCCATGACCTGCCCGAAACCGGAAGTGACGTCATTTTCGCGGAAATGTAGTTTTTTACCATCAAGGCCTCATGAGCCTATACTGGTGTTTTTAAAAGTTATCTTTGACTTTATGACTTTCTGTGTCGTTTCTGGGATGCTTAGGACTCATATTGCACTGCTGGAAATAGTTTATTTTGATGCATATGCTGCTTTTTTTTGCAAATTTGCACGATAATATTTATTTTTGTTTTTCCTGCAGTATATAAAAATTGGTGTATTTCAAAAATAAAACTATGAAGACACTCAAAATAAATTTCCTGTGGTGGGAAACTATTTTGTGCAACTTTTTTGTATTTACAGTTTTGAGGGATAAGCCTCTTAAATTTCTCTAACTAGAAATATATGTTAAAAAAACAAAAACGATTTTCATTTTTTTGTTATTTATTGCACTTTTTTGCAATTTATGTAATTACTATGCACTTAATGCAGACATATTATTAAAATTTGGGCTATAATGGTTGTATTGATGTATAGCAACATGAAATGCTCCCAAAAATGGAACTACAACATGTAAAAATATAAAGTAAGCTCTGGCGGACTTGGTTCTATGGTAGGTCTTAAAGGGTTAACCATATTTGTTTCAAAGGCAAGCTCTCTTTTTATTTGACCTGGCTCATGTTTTTTCTTCTGTGACCTTTGGGAGCATCTCTCTACATTTATTTTGTCTCCACAAATTCATTAACACAAGATCCTGTAACTTTGAGATTCTGCTTCAATCAAGGTTGAGTGGGCGAAGGAGAGGTTGCAAATTTGTCCCGTCATGCATTCCCAGGCAGAAAAGAATCACACAGACTCATTTAAAAGCTGTGCAAAGCGTGTTTTACCATCATTCAACTTTCTGGAAAGCTCGGAGAAAATCCACACTGTACAAGTACAGATTGCACGATAAAAAGGATCATCACGTACAGTAGCCCTGATAGTAGAAAAGAGGTTAAAGTGGGGTTATAAGTTTAAATACTTAACAAGCAAGTTGCATTTTAGCAGCATCTCTTGCAGCAAACTGGTTCTCAGAACCACCGTCACAAGTTCAGATCAGGCTGGTGTCAGGCTGCATGAGAGGCATTTCCATCCTTCGCTCATCAACATGATTTAGCTGCTTGGTAGAATCTTCCATGTGATTAACACTCTCCCTGATGCACAGCTAGAATTGAGTGAATGTCTGTATTTGTGTAGTAAATATGTAAAAGAGGTCACTTTCACGACTAAATCAAAATGAGCCCTTGTAGTATCTATCAACATTTCAGAGGCCTTATTGAGCTCGAGGTCTTTTGAAGACAAAGGCTCAGAGTAAAACAGGGATTCATGAAAGTGACAGGAGAAGGGTACAGATTAAAGAAAAGAAACTCAAAACACCTTTTTTACAACAAAACATGCAGACCCTACCCCAGAGTCTGAATCCTTGTAATCGTACCTTGGTTGGAACCAGGTGCATCTGAACCAGAATAAAGTGTCTGCATCTAGACTTCAATTCATCCATCCATTCGCTTCCGCTTTTCAGGGTCGCGGGGGGCGCTGGAGCCTATCCCAGCTGTCATAGGGCGAGAAGCAGCCAGGTCGCCAGTCTGTCGCAGGGCCAACACACAGGGACAGACAACCATTCACACTCACATTCATTCGCACATTCACACCTAGTGGCAATTTGGATTATCCAATTAACCTATCCCCACAAGCTGCATGTCTTTGGACGGTGGGAGGAAGCCGGAGTACCCGGAGGGAACCCACACAAACACGGGGAGAACATGCAAACTCCACACAGAAAGACCTGATGTTGGAATTGAACTCAGGACCTTCTTGCTGTGCGGCAACAGTGCTAACCACCGTGCCACCGTGCTGCAACTTCAATTCAATTCAATTTTATTTATACAGCACCAAATCACAGCAGCAGACGCCTCAAGGCGCTTTATATTGTAAGGCAGACCCTACAATAATACATACAGAGAAAAACCCAACAATCATATGACCCCCTATGAGCAGCACTTTGGCGCCAGTGGGAAGGAAAAACTCCCTTTTAACAGGAAGAAACCTCCGGCAGAACCAGGCTCAGGGAGGGGCGGGGCCATCTGCTGCCACCGGTTGGGGTGGAAGAAGGAAGACAGGATAAAGACATTCCATATTTTGCAGTTATTTTCTGCTTATCCAGTCTTCCTAGAAAAAATGCATCAAGAAATGTGTTTACTGTGAGCTTCAGAGAGCTTAATGAGACAGTATCTTTGGAAAGTGTTTGGCTATTTCGGCCCATTTACAGTCTTTTTACAAAACTACACCTGTTGGCGGCACAACAGGTGTAGTTTTGTAAAAAGACATTGCACATATCAGTTTATCACACTAAAACTTTGTTTACTGTGTTTATGTGTTCTCATCCTTCAGGTGAACGTGTAATACAACCTCAGATCCTAGAGTTGAACTTCAGCCCAGACTGTGCCCGAGCCTGCCTCTACCACCCTGACTTCTACAACCACATGTTTCAGACGCTGTTCCTGGATCAGCCTGAGGAGTGCCCTGTCACACAAATCATGTGATTAACCGAACATGATGGAGGAGTGTCTGTAGTTTATGTTTTCATGCTTCAAGTTGCTGAAATCTTCCCCTTATCCATCTGTGCTGCATCTGTGGAACTCCCTGTATGCGAGATAACAACTGTGCATACTCTGCTGGTTGTGTGCTCGTAGAGTCGTATAGAGGAACACCTCGTCAGTTCTGTGTTGCACAGTGAGATTAAAAATGGATAAATTTCAGTTTCTGTTGACGATTTCTCTCGATGTTCTCTCTCAGGCTTCTCAGAGAGTATAAATGTAATCTCTTTAGTTTCACTGTTCATTAAAGCCATATTGTACTCTTTCATCTTCTTGTGCCATTATAATTACTTTTTCTGTCTTTTGCTGTATGTTTCCTCATACACACACAGCTGACATTGTTCTGCAGTTCCTGCAGACAGTAGCTCAGAAGACGTCACACATATACTGCATACAAAAAATTAAAGATATAGTTCGAAACTCCATCAAAGAAAAAATCCTACTGGACATCTGATATGTGTTGATGCAGGCTCTATTAGGATCCCAGGAAGTTGATTCTGTTTATCTGGAGCGTATTCAGTGGGAGAAATGTTTCGTCCCAAGTGACTTTTTGTAGTCTCAGGCTGAGACTGTGAAATTGCCATCAGTAATGGGAGCACCAATTGGGTGAAATCAGGTCCTAAAACCTGTTTTCATTCCATGCTGTAGTGTTGTAAATAGACAAATTAGAAAAGTGTAACATCATAATTCTAGAAAATAACCAAAAATATGCTGTTATTACAACTATGGTTATTTTAGGTGTGCTCTGATGATACTCAAGCACCCCCAAATGGGTCTAAATTGGCTATGTATCAGTATAATACAACACAGACTGAACACCATCCCCAAGGATACAGCAGCCAGTGGATTGCTGTGTTTTATTCATCAGGGGAACCAAACAGCCTCTGGCTAAGAGGATGACACACCACAGAAGAGCTAAGTCATCAGGCCAGGACTCTGCAGTGTGTTTACACCTACACTCAGTGGCCAGTCTTTCAATGATGAGGATGTACACATTCTGAACAGGCCTGGTTTGAGTCCAGGCTATCCTGAAATGTGAGGGGTAGAGTTGGTTGTAGCTCAGGAGGCAGAGCAGCATCTACTAATGCATGTTAGCTAAAAAGTACTTCAGCCTAGAAAAAAAGTGCTTGTATGAAAGGGTGAGTCAGGTTGCATAATGCCTCGAGTGCTCAGGTAGAGTAGAAAGCGGCAGTGAGTCTAATGTGTTAGGAATGATGGGAACAAAGTGAAAAAGTGCTGCAGCAGGCTGGTCCACTTAGTAGAAAAATGATAGTCAGTACTTTGTATGAACCCCCCCCCCC